TTACATTTTCTTGTCCATAATAATCAACATAATGCAGGGGAAACTATAAATTGAACTGCAGCAGTGCTAAACTTGCCTCATACAATTACAACACAAGATCAGTGTATGAATCAAACATACATTTTGACTGTCGACAGTTGTTTTCCATGCATCGTTTATGTATGTTACGGAGCCCCCCTAGTCCCACTTTGTCAAAAAAAAATTATTATAACTATCTCGTGGCCTCAAGATAAGTAACTCGTGGCCTCAAGATACTATCTCGTGGCCTCAAGATAGTAACTCGTGGCCTCAAGATACTGGGTGTTTCTCAAAACCAAGAATGCAAAGAACGGACTTGTGTTCTTGGGGAGAACGCTCTTGCTAGTTGTTCTTGGAAGAATGAACTCACAAGGTGACGAGCACACAGAACGCTGCTGACAGTTTGAGACGATGTGTTCTTGCTGGTATTGCGCAATAATTCCCCCGCACAGACACCGTCTGCAGTACCCAAACATAACGAGAATTATTGACGATAACAGCCAGGCTGCAATGGTCTCTTGACTGTGGGGAAAAACGAGTCTGTGAGCAAACTGGCCGGTTGGCTCGATAGCTAACGTTACACCCGCAGGCGCTTATGGAGATTCTCACTTCCGAAAACGTTTGAGCACATTTTCGATTAGCCATACATTTTCGTAAAATGCCAATATTTGAAATCTACACAGTTGATTTCTCGCATCAAATGTTCTCAGAAGTGAATTTAGTGATGAAATAGTGTACGTAATTGTAGAAAAACGAAATACTGTATTGACCTGCCTCTCCTTCCTCGAATGCCGAATTGAATGCTGGGATATTTCTGCCGTCAAGTTCACACAAGTTACCAGCCGATGCATCCTCGGTAAAATGGGCGTGTCAAGAACACATCCGGGATTTTTAACTGTTCTTGCCAAAATGCAAACTTGTGTATTGGGACAGTACTTGGGCCACAAAAGATGACGTTTCACAAGAACACAAGGACACAAGTACAGACAAGAACACAGATTGAGAAAGGCCCACTATCTCGTGGCCTCAAGATAGTAACTCGTGGCCTCAAGATACTATCTCGTGGCCTCAACTTGAGGCCACGAGATAGTATCTTGAGGCCACGATTTACTATCTTGAGGCCACGAGATAGTATCTTGAGTATCCACGAGAGTATCCACGAGATAGATCTATCTTGAGTATCCACGAGAGTATCCACGAGTTACTATCTTGAGGCCACGAGATACTATCTTCAGGCCACGAGTTACTTATCTTGAGGCCACGAGATAGTTATAATAATTTTTTTTGACAGAGTGGGACTAGGGGGGCTCCGTAGTATGTGGTTACACTACAGTATAATATAAAACAGTGAATCAAATCACTCCGCAACTCTGTCTTGCCTGCAGTCGAGACGGTGCCGTGAGCTCCACTGACAGTCCCTCCTATTGGTCGTTGCTCGCGAAAATCGCTTCTCATTTGCATAAAGTTAAAATTTCTGAACTTTCGTTGCGTGTCTCGCGTCGCTTGACACGCCCACATTCTGTCGCCAACGGTCTCAGTCGCCAGCGCTCCATTGAAATGAATGGGATCGTGTCGCTGCGTGTCGCTGGCGGTGTGAACGGGGCTTTAGAAGACAGTAGACAGCAAGGCAGCTCAATAGTTTTTATATCTACGTCGGCCAGACTCGGCCTGATACTGCTTGAGTGCTTTGGAGCAGTGTTTTTTAGAACGGCAGTGTAAACATCTGAAAGGGTCTGTGTTTTTAATTATCTCCAGCAGTCCGGCACCAGCTATCCTCCTAAACGTATTTTTAAATCATGTCGGCTCAGGCTCTCTTGGCAGAGATTTGAGGGACGCCTGTATTATTTTTGGCCAGCAGTTCTGAGGTCTTTGTATGAACACGAAGGGGAAACCAAGGCCCGGCAAGGCTGGACTGAGACAGAGAGAGAGAGAGAGAGAGAGAGAGAGAGAGAGTTTTGACCAGGGTGCAAGGGCAATGGTCAGCCACCGGAGACTCCTTGTTCCTCTCGCTCAGCTGGAGTTTAGTCTCAAAAATAGAAAAACTCGGCATTATCTGATCCCAGTGACCCTACAGACCCCATGAATGGCTTGATGAACACCGTTTTCTTTCCTGCGTTGGCATATTTCCTAAAAATCAGGAGAGTAAAGAGAGTTTAGGCGAGACATATTGAAAAGTGCATTCCTTTTTTTGATGACCTGTAGAGTCAACATGACAAGTTAACAGGAGATAACATGTTTTTTTATTGTTTATAATTTTTTCAACAAAAACCTAAATATAGACCATTGAAAAGACATTCAAATAAAAGCACATTGATGGACTTACCATCTGTCCAGGATGTTGGGATAGCCTCCAGCATCTCTACATAGCGGTTTGGAAAATGGATGAATGCAAAATAAAATAAAACCTCTCTCACTTTCAGCTGCTTCTGTTAGGGGTTGCATACTTGTTTGCTTATTTGCTTATCATTCTCATAATTATTTGCCATATTTTATATTAAAAATATATATGTATCTTTTGCTTTTAAGCTACTCCCGTTATGGGTTGCCACAGCGGATATTCATAATTTTATTTGGCATATTTATTTATGAAATAAAAATAATTCAAAATTACACACAGGATTTGTTTTTTCATAATTATAATTGTTTAACCCATCTCATATTGAGAATTTGCAGGCTATGTATAATTTCCAATGGAGTAGGTTTTACTTTCTCATTCTTATTCTGGAGGGCATTTTATTAGAGTCTGCATACATCCACGATATATAGTTCTTCTAACCACATATATCTTTTTAAAGCTCAGTGTGTGTGTGTGTGTGTGTGTGTGTGTGTGTGTGTGTGTGTGTGTGTGTGTGTGTGTGTGCGTGTGTGTACTCGCACTCCACCTGGCAGGTGGTTGTATAGAAAGGCATCCTGTTCAGCCAAAGGAAGGATCACGTCCAGACTCTCAGCCACTAATCACTTCCCATCCGCCCTGTCTGCCTCCCTGCCTGTCTGCCTGCCTGTCTGCCTCCCTGCCTGCCTGTCTGTCTGCCTGTCTGTCTGCCTGCCTGTCTGTCTGTCTGTCTGTCTGTCTGCCTGTCTGCCTGCCTGTCTGTCTGTCCGTATGTCTGTCTGTCTGCCTGCCTGCCTGCCTGCCTGTCTGTCTGCCTGCCTGTCTGTCCGTATGTCTGCCTGTCTGCCTGCCTGTCTGTCTGCCTGTCTGTCTTGTTTGCCTGTCTGTCTGCTTGCCTGCCTGTCTGTCTGCCTGCCTGTCTGCCTGCCTGTCTGCCTGTCTGTCTGCCTGTCTGTCTGTCTGCCTGCCTGTCTGTATGTCCAAATGTCTGTCTGCCTGCCTGCCTGTCTGTATGTCCGTATGTCTGTCTGCCTGCCTGCCTGTCTGTCTGCCTGTCTGTCTGTCCGTATGTCTGCCTGTCTGTCTGCCTGCCTGTCTGTCTGTCTGCCTGTCTGTCTGCCTGCCTGTCTGCCTGTCTGTCCGTATATCTGCCTGCCTGCCTGTCTGTCTGTCTGCCTGTCTGTATGTCTGCCTGTCTGTCTGTCTGCTTGCCTGTCTGTCTGTCTGTCCGTCTGCCTGCCTGTCTGTCTGTCTGCCGGCCTGTCTGTCTGCCTGCTTGCCTGCCTGCCTGTCTGTCTGCCTGCCTGCCTGTCTGTCTGCCGGCCTGTCTGTCTGCCTGTCTGTCTGCCTCCCTGTCTGTCTGCCTGTCTGTCCGTCTGCCTGTCTGTCTGCCTGTCTGTCCGTATATCTGCCTGCCTGCCTGCCTGCCTGTCTGTCGGTCTGCCTGTCTGTATGTCTGCCTGCCTGTCTGTCTGTCTGCCGGCCTGTCTGTCTGCCTGTCTGTCTGCCTCCCTGTCTGTCTGCATGTCTGTCCGTCTGCCTGTCTGTCTGTCTGTCTGTCTGTCTGTCCACCTGCCTGTCTGACTGTCTGTGTCTGTCTGCCTGTCTGTCCACCTGCCTGTCTGTCTGCCTGTCTGTCTGTCTGCCTGTCTGTCTGCCTCCCTGTCTGCCTCCCTGTCTGCCTGCCTGCCTGTCTGTCTGTCTGTCTGTCCGCCTGTCCACCTGCCTGTCTGACTGTCTGTGTCTGTCTGCCTGTCTGTCCACCTGCCTGTCTGTCTGTCTGCCTGTCTGTCTGTCTGTTCAGCCTCCGCAGGCAGCTGTCTATCTGCACCATTCTAATGTTTTGTGTTTAACGACCAGGCTGGAAACTTTTCACTGGAGCTCATCCAGACAGAGAGCTCCAGTCCTGCATTTCTGTTCATACGTTTGAAGTAGACGTGTGGCCGTTTCCATTGACCTCTACTGACAGGCTGTTTCAGAGCTTCAGCTCACTCCAATGATAGAGCAAATCTACACTCGTTTTGCAAAGCTAGATGTTCATAGCTTCTGTTTCATTTGGTAAAATGTTATCATTCATGACATGTAAAATACGTTGCACATTAGATACAGTGGTGTACCTCAGCAAAAAGAGAATAGCTTGATTCTGGTACATAGAACAAGCACTGAGGTGTTCTGTAGGCCAGAGCGGATGGTTTTGTGGGTGATGGCCTATATCCCAGCATGCTGGAATAATTTTGAGTTCCTCTAATAACAGGGAGACTTCAGAGGTTTTTACAGATCCTGCGGCCTGAGGCCTGATTTTTTGGTTTAATTGCACACTGAAGTTGAGCCACGTCACGTCGGATTGACTGCACTGACGTGTGCATGTGTGTGTTTATGTGCCGTATATGACCGTGTGCGTGGTGTATTAATGTTTAGCTGTGAATCAATGCCACTTGCCCATGATGTCATGGAAAACTGCATTTACTCTGCAAAACACCTGTCTATGATCAGGATTGTTTTCTTGTGTTTTTGACAAGACTGACCGCAGTTTCCTGGACAGTACGTGCACTGTGTTCAGCTCTTGTTTCTCAGGAGATGATGGTTTTTCATTTTCAAATGCCTCTAGGTCGTTTGAGACTGAGCTTGTCGTTTTTTTGTTGTTCTTAAGACTGCCACCGACAGCTCCTCAAACTCATCTCAGAAGAAGGAGCACGCTACACAACTAGTGGCCACCTCCACCTTCTACGAGCCTCACCCGCATCGCTGCATCCTGCAGTACCGGCCGCCTGAGCGCTACAGCCTGGATCAGGTACCTAGAAACTGGAGCCTAGTAAATATTGGCATGAAAGAATGAATATTAATTATACATCACTACTAAAATACACTGCCGTTCAAAAGTTTGGTGTCTGTAAATAGTTGATTCAGCAAAAGTGACAGTAAATCGATTTCTATTTCTATTTCAAATAAATGCTGTTCTTTTAAACTTTCTAGTCATCAGAGCATCCTGAACAGAAATATAAGGGTTTCCACAAAAATTTTAAGCATCACAACTATTTTCAACATCGATAATAATCAGAAATGTTTGAGCAGCAAATCAGCATATTAGAATGATTTCTGAAGGATCATGTGACTCTGAAGACTGGAGTAATGATGCTGACAATTCAGCTTTGATCACTGGAATACATTCCATTTTACAATACATTGTAAAAATTGAAATCAAATGTCACAATCTTACTGTTTTTACTTTATTTTTGATCGAATAAATGCAGCCTTGGTGAGCATAAAAGACTTCCATCAAACACATAAACACTCTTAAACTCGATAGCGTGCATGTATATTATTGTAATTTTATTATGTAATCTCAAAATGTGTGCTTTTTTCCATACAAATTCAGCTAATTCAAAAAGATGACTCATTCACAACTCATCAATATCTCAATTCATATTTATTGAATAAAACACAACTATGAAACATCATGTGAAGTCAGGGTTACCATACTTGGCCTTCACGTCACTTCACTAAATTAAAGAGATGCGATTTTAATGGATGATCATACGGGCACAGTCACCTCTTTTATGCGTTTGTATTCTTCTTGCCTTTTAGAAGTTCTCCAGGAACCCCTTCCCCTTTGAGGACGAGGAGATCGTCCGGATCAACCCCCGGGAGCGCTGGCTCATCACAGGCTACGAGGACTACCGATACGCCTCGGTGCCGGACAAGTTCATCCAGCCTGAGGACTCGGACTCGTACGTTCAGATCGCTAAGAGCGAACCCTTGAAGCACGACTACAACTACCCCTACGTGCCCAGCTCCGACTTCACCCAGTGCGACCTCAAGAGCCACTGCGACGGTGAAGTGGTGGCCACCCAGCCTCGGGTGTTCAAGCTCAAGGGCAAGCGGAGGAAAGAGGACGGAGAGCGATCGCGCTGCGTCTACTGCCGGGACATGTTCAACCACGAGGAGAACCGGCGCGGACAGTGCCACGACGCGCCCGACCCCATTCGGACCTGCATCCACCGGGTGAGCTTCATGTGGTGCGCCGACAGCATGCTCTACCACTGCATGTCCGACCCGGAGGGCGACTACTCGGACCCGTGCTCGTGCGACACCAGCGAGGAGCGCTTCTGCCTTCGCTGGACGGCCCTGCTGGGTTTGTCGGTGCTGGCGCCCTGTTTGTGCTGCTACCCGCCGCTCCACATGTGCCACCGCTGCGGCGTGGCCTGCAGTTGCTGCGGAGGAAAGCACAAGGCCGTCGGATGAACCCCCTGCCCGTCCCCAACAATCCCTAAACTCGCGCCCCTCGGAACGCTAGCACTGAGGAGGGCAGGAGCGGACACGGCCCGGTTGGAGCTTTCCCTGCTTTTACTTCACAGTCTCTCCTGGTTCCAGAAAACAATTGGTGCATTTAACTGGCTTGAAAAACATTCTCTTCTCTTTTGGTTTGATTTTATATATATATATATGTATATGTTCTTTTCTTTCCCTTTTGTTGTGGATGTTTCTCTCAGTTCCTTGTGAACGAAATGGCTCTTCTGTCAGGTGGCTCCCGGAGCCTTCACTTTCATGCATTTACTTATGCAGGTACTTTATATTTTTTACACTGATTTGACTTTTCAAGAACTTGAATAGCTTGTTTCGGTTTTGGCGTCCGTGGCCAGCAAAGGGAGGAATTAGCCGTTTACTCTTCCTGAACAGGTCCTTACATAAACTGGCATTTGTATCCCAAGCCCTTTAACCCATTCAGAACAATAACAATGAGATTAGCTCGAGACACTAAACCTGTAGTTGGAAGCGACCATTTGTAGTGCGTCTGCGGGAGAACGTGTGTCGATGCCTGCGTGCGTGTTGTAAAGGAATGATAACGTCGTATCACAGCATAGTATTGTTGTTATTATATTTAAGCCAAATTTACATAAGCTGCATCCAGAGTATATGTAAATACTGTATACTCATATGTATATGTTTCAAATCGAATTATTGTAATCACCTTCGACAGCCACAGCTGTGCTTCAGATAACGGACATTTTCCTTATAGAGTTGACTTATTTTGGATGCGAGGGTGGCTTTTGAGTTGATGCATATTTGATATCCAAAGATTATTTTTGTCATATTTATTTTTCGCCGTCAATTGAATCACCAGCCAAAGGGAGAAACAAAATAAATAGAGAGAAATTATCGGTGGGCAAAACAAGCACAGCCATGATGAGTTTCTAGCGAGCCCACACCACTTAAACGGCAAAAAAAATCATTCTTTTAATAAAAATGTTTGTCTTGAAAAACAATGTAAATATCCTCACAACAAATTACTTGATTTACTTGAGAAGCAAAATTGTGAAAAATAAGGCTTTAAAAAAAACAAAAACAAATCAGAATTATACCTTTTTTTTAATCTATTTATTATGATTTTCTATAGGTTTTAAAAACAAACCTCTTTTTTTTTTAGATTTCTGCTTAAAATAAGAAGAAAAAAAACTTTGCCAATGGGATAAGAAAACTAATGGAAAACAAGTCAATACGAAATAAGCCCAAAGTATACTTGGGCCGTTCCTGTTTGCACGTACAACACACACGTTTCGGTGACTTGAGCGCTTGAAAACAAAGTCCACTAGATCTTTCCGCGCTCATGGCCAAAGGACTATACTCTGAAAGGCAGAAGACGGAGCAAAATGAAGTATACCCGCGCCTTTATGCGATTTTGCTTCTCATGTCATTTTTTTGTTTTAGGGCTGTTTTGATATTTTACTGGAATACAAGATCAAAATATCAATTATTAAAATGATTTTTGCTGCCTATTTGATTTGAGATATTCTACTGAGGGAAAACACTAAACCGCTATATTTTTTCCCCTTACTGAAAGATGGTTCATAATTTGTCTCTATGATCTCTAGATAAAAAAGGAATTGTTGTCTCAAAGATGTTTCCAGCTCCAGTCCTGATCTCTAAGAAAAACAAAAGGAAACAGAAATATAAGCTTGATTTTTAGGGTGCTTTATAGAGGGACATTTGCCAAACCGTTCTCCAGTTTCTTCATGACAATAACTTAACGCCTTAATTTTGTCTCAAAGAACTTTTGAGAGGACATGGAATCAATTCAGTTCCTCAAAGAAGAGAAAATAGTGAATAGATATTTTTCTATTATATTAACAAAACAAAAAAAATGAAATAACACCCCAATAGATAGGCCTTTCTGTTGAATAAAAAAACGTGCTCCGGTTATTGCGGGAGTCAAGCGGCATGGTACAATCCGCGAGACGGCTCGTGTGTGTCGAGTCCGTCTCGTCACCTCACCCACCCCTGTGAAGGACCATGTGGTTAACCAGTCACCTTCCCCTTTATGCTTTGTCTGAATAAATCATTGACTGACAATGACATATTCAAACTGTGTGAGAGCAGTCAAAGAATGTACAGTATATGTGCGTCAATTATATAAACGTTTAGCCTCAAAACCATGTTCTCAATGGTGGCGTGTTCTCGAATGACAATGTGCTCTTAAAAATAAAGGTTCTTCAATGGTTCGTTGCAGAACCTCTTCTCAACGAGAACCAATTTATTTTTCGATATAAAGGTTCAAAGAAGTCCTTGATGTCACATCATTTGCTCAAAGACTGGTTCGGAATAGCATACTACATTACTATCGCTGCAGTAGCCTACTTTTTATTTGATTTTATTAGATTTTTTTCTTTTGTATGCTGTGAATACATGTAGTATACATCTGCACAGACTAGTATATCCCACAATGCAATGTGGTTGATATGACCTTCCATTTTCACTGTGATGGATGAAATTGGAATAAGACCTGTTCACAACAAGAACGATAACTATAATATAAAATCTATATTAGTGTCCACACATCAATTTACTTCAAATGTGGGTGTGTTCTGATTGGCTGGCATAATATTGTTCCTCTGTGTTCGCATTGAAGTGTTGGTGTTGGCGTCACTATAGTAGAGGAGATACAGAACCAGCGGAGACTGGGAAAACCGGGGTCACCAAATACCCCCCTTAATCCCAAAAATGTCCCAGTGACCATAGTGAACACATCCACTACAGCGAGGCTGTTGGCGGGGCTTTCCTCCCAGCCCTAGTACTCCACAAACCCTCCCTCGTCGATGCACAAGGCTCACACCTGGCCAGACACACCTTGTGGTTCAAGGAATTCCACTGTTAAACATGATAATTTTAAATAATAAGTTAAAATAATGCAGGCTAACGGCTTTAGCAAAAGCAAATACCATCGATTAACAACCTGGTAGCTCACAGGAGGTCTCTCTTATAACTTATAGTTCAAAACCAATTTCCCTATGGAGAAAATGAATGCAGTTTTATACTTTCAGAACCCAACAGCTCTCAATTCTCATATAATTTAGAACAATTATTAAAACGTTAGTTATTGTCCTTGGTGTGAACGGGCCTAGAAAATCAGCCACCATTTTTTTTTTTTTTTTTTACAATCTCTTGTTTGATTGGATTGTCAAAAGTAAATGTATTTTATACACAAAATTGGATTAAATTAAATTGAAATGTATTATTTGCTGACTAAAACGTGATGTATTCATGTGGAGTGATGCATGCTGTTTCACTCACTATTTTTAAAAATGGCATTGTATACATCACAGTGTTCAAGTAGTAGGATGCTAGTATCCATTCCGAACATAGTCTTTGTGTCCTGTGGTTAAAATGAAGCAGTTGTGTGTTCTTACGGTGCATACAGTGGGGTCCAAAAGCTAAAATGGTTAAATTTAGCATTTTTCAAGAATAATACATTTCATTACAAATCAAATTAAGAATAAGTGGAAAGTTTAAGAGTTGCTCCCCAGTTTACTTGCCCTGTTGTTTCTTTATGTTTACTTTTCCAAAATATCTCAATTTCCAGGTTTAAATGAAAACCAAACAAGCATTCAATGTGGTCACAAACTTGTAAACCTTTCCTAAAGGAAGGTTCAGGTTGTAAAAGGCTTTATTTTTAAGAGTGGGGGTCGTGCTGTGTGGTTTGGTCTAACTTTCGGGGGAACGAGGAGAAGCCCCCTGTCGGTTCACTGGAGTCCTCACGCTAACCTCCGCAGAGAGGTGTCAGCTGTCACTGTGTCCTTCATTCACCACGTGTCCTTTCTGTATCTCAATATGTCAGCTTCTGCAATACCGATGTCATCCAAGCTTAGAGAAGAGCTGCGTTTTATTTTTCTATCTGTGGTAATGGACCGTTAACCAAAAGCATTCTGTATGAACGTCTGTCCTGGTGCAACGTCTTGCTACTACACACATTTACCTGTTAAAAAGTGCCTGAAGCATCATGTTAATCGATCTCCTTGTATACTAAAAAAGAGAAAAGAAAATGAAATAAAACCTATTGTATTGATTAGTTTTGTTTTTTACAATCCCCATTTTTACCTCTGTAAAAAGCAAAAAAAATCTATATCAAGTGTATGATGTACATTTTTATTTCTATTTTTTTTAATCGTTTCTAACATGTATGATCAATGTAGCTCCTGCTTTTAGGAAAAGATGGGAAAAAAGAAAGTACTTTGTAAATACCAGTTGATCATATCAGAACTACATGGCGTCCTGGCCGGTGTCAGTTCTACATGTTTGTCATAGGTCCCAATAAAAATGAAAAGAAACCAGTGATCGGCCTACATTTGTGCTGTTTGCCAAGGAATTGACCGTTCGCAAAGACCCGCCCCCTTTAGTTACTGTTGCTATGTCTGACGCGCCATGCCTATCTCACGCCACACACCATGTTCTCACGCAGTGAAAAATACAGAGCGGAGCAAAGAGGACACTGACAACGTGCTGTCAGAAAGGACAGACCAGCTTACTTTTGATATGAAATTGAGTCTCAACTTTCAAAATTTGGTCCTTCACCGTTTTGTGGCTCTTTAATGTGTCGTGACAGATCGGTGTAGCGCCTCAGTTAAAGCTGCTCGTAAACCGATCATTTCTTCCTTCTAGTTACTTTTAGCATCAGATAAACATGAATGAACATTAGAGAAAGGTTGTTTCAACCGCGAAAAGACGTCAGTACACACCGCTTTTCAAGTTCAAGTCCACCGACACTGCTTCGTCAGACAAAATGGCGGATTCTGATTGGTCAGATCGGCTGCCAATCAAACTCCCTGCCAGGGGTGAACTGTTCGCTTAAAAATTCAAATTTGATAAGAATTTGGTAGGATTTATGCTCGGTACACATTGTACGATTTTGGGCTGTCCCAGACAAAAGATGACCAATCGTGGCGATTGATTTCTGTGGTCGTGGCTCATAAGTCGTACAGCAAGAGAGGTTGTCACGGTCTTACGACTAAATATAGCCTGCGATAATTTTCTGACAGACAGTGTTATAAATTTACCATGATCATCTCACAGTGTGTTTGCTGCTACGACCTACTGTACGTCTACTGACTAGCCAATAAAAATGCAACATGAAATGGCGTTAAAACTACTTCCCTTAAGCGCAATTTGCAAAATTGGCATGCCAAGTTGGCCTCTTTTCCTATAGCCATGGCCGTGTCTATATTCTCCTCTTTCTCTTTCATCCTCATCTTTCAGCCCACACTAAAACCACAATTGGCAAAGTACGATTCATCTTGCTCTATTTGTTTACCACTAGCGCATGCTGATGATGATTTATTCTTCTATACCATCTTGCGTCGTAGCCTACGATTCAGTAGGTGTCATCATCGTACAGTCGTACACAAGTTTATTAGATTCATGTCGTAAAGTGTGATTTGTAATGATCATATTATTATAGTATTGCCGAAATCGCACAGTCTGTAGCAGGCATTATACTTTGACCTCCTGTGTATCATGCTGACCTCCATGTGTATTGCTGAGAACGGGCCTTTATCCATCAGTTCACCCATATGAATCGGTCATTGGCCCTCGGTAAGCTGTAATCAATCAAAATTGTGACGCTTTTCCCCCCGGCTCCTAATGCGCTTCAAGCCAGACGTGACTGCAGTGCTTGCATCTGGACCCAGAAGTCTTTGAGCAGCCTAAACATGTGAAAGCCATACAGGACATTAAGCTGTTTCACTCAGGATGTTTTTTGAAAAAGCATATGTACGATTATCAGGCAAGAAAAGAGGGGAGGGGAGGGGGGGGGGGAGTTGTCCCGTTGTCCCGTTGTCCCCAAAGGCTTGGCCTGCTGCTGCTTGGTGACTGCAAATAGCATC